GCAGTACCTTGAGTAAATAAGTGAAAAACGTCCTACCTTTATGTTTCAGATAAAATCAATATTTTGAGGCTTCTCTGTCTGAGAAAGTGTTTTCTTAAAACTTCTTCATCTTCGACGACCTTCTTACCGCGTGTTAGCTTGAACTAAACGCGCTTAATAAGTTTATTTTCAACGCTGGCATAGTTACGAAGTGATGTAACAAAGTCTTAGTTCAACTCATCATATTACCAGTGATGACGTAATAAAGAGTCTTACTTTCACCCAGCTTGACGATATGGCAGCATTAGTGCGTTACACTAAGCGTTAGTGTATTCAAATAGTGCAAAACTAGTTTCATTTACGATGAATATCGATAGAAAACCTCCGATACGAATGAAGTCTCAAATATTTATTAGCATGGCGCATGAATTACAGTTTTGCCGAATCAACAATTAATGCAAACACCTTTAGAATCTAAAAACCATTATAATATTCGAGATGTGTAAAAAAAAACTTCCTGTAACTTCCTGGAAAAGTCCTGTAACGGTCGTGTGTTGTCATTGTAAAACTCCTCCAGGAGGGGGCTGTGTTCTCCTTCAGTACAGGCTCAGCACACTCACACTGTTCTGTCATTAGTCGTCATTGCCCGTCGGAATTATATTACAATTTTATATAAATATATATCAATTTTATAGTTGCTGACCTCCGTTTTACAGTATGATTTGTAAAGGCGTAATATGTTTTCACTCTCGTATTCTGTATATTTAAAAGGTTTTTGTTTCCCCCCCGGCGTGAACAACCGGAGACTTTCTGGAAAAAGCTTAGCACTGCGGACAGATTTAATACAGCTGTACGACAATGTCAAATATATTAATTCATATTTGTATAATGCAATATTTTGTGTATTTAATTCAAATAAATGGTATAAAGATCACTGCTTCTAGTGTTTTATTCATTTTGTTCAGATTCTGAGGAATATTTGCACAGTATTCAACCTGTCTTGCTGGTTCTCCTTGCCACCACGTGTTATGTGATGAGTAGTAAAATTTAATGTTTAACATCTGCTCATGGTCTAAAATCTCACGTGTTGTACCGTTAACTGGCGTTAGCTTTCAGTGTTTTTCTTCGTGATTTTTACAGTACATGGCTACTACCCTGAAATAGATGCATGGATGAAAAATGATTTTTCACATACTGTAGGTGTGTAACCGCTTGCTGATCTAACCGCAGCTAAAAAGCTCTTCGGAGGTGGTGTGGGCCCTCAGATCGCGCTTTTTTATTTACCGAAGGAAGTATAGTACGTCTCCTGCAAAACACTGACGGTGTGCTCCCACGTGATCTCATTTTAAGTCTCTCTTTAGTTATTCACTTTTCTCGTCTTCTGTTTGAGCTTTCACTCATGTTGTTTTTCCTTAAAGTTAAAAGTTAAACACAGCGGTGGTGTTTATTTTAAAAAGGTTTATTTTGTTTTGTGATACAACTTTATATTTGAGGCTGTGTGCAAGATTCATTCCTTAAGTAATATCAGATGATCGTGTTTATAAAGTAACTGAAACATACCTTTCAAATAATTGGTTTGCCGTTTCCCACGATAACAGTGGACTTCATGTTCTGTAGCGCGGCGATAAAATCGTCGTTGCACACACAATACTAAAGCTCTGTAATAACGTAGCGGCATATTTGCAGGTTAATTGTTCGTAGTATATACAGTATTTGTTCAGTCAGCTCCGTGACGTTGTCTCCCCTACAGATAGTATAAACAACAACTCCCACACCGCATTCGTTTGCGCTGTGTACGGAGTATTTTCAGCCTTCTTTTCGCATACAGCAACTTTTTTTTTTTTGCTTTGTTGTATCGTTGCAGCGGTGTTACCACTATGAACGAGAAGTGGGATGGCCCGCTCTTAGTTCCGGCTGTGCGAAGCTCGGAGATGACGGCACGGTGGCGGTGACCTCTGTGGACGGCAAAGCTGTTCTCCGCGTGTCAGCTTCGGGACAGGAATTCTGGGTGGAGTTTCTCTGCAAGGCCAGCCAGAAGTCATCCAGGCCTGCCAGCCTGGAGCCAAAAACCGAGTTTGCTGGTGGCCCTGGAAATGCCAAGGAGCGCTCTAGAGACGAGAACCCAAAGGTCACGCACAGTGAAGTGGAATCGGCAGAGATCCAAGAAGATAATGGAGATAGACACCCCATCGCCAGGAGCTTGAGAGTTGTCTCCAGTCAAAGTGGCACAAGTCATAGATTCTCTGAGCCAGCTCCCAAACAGGCCTACCTTTGCACCTGGGTGTTTCAGCACCATTCACTGTCATCCTATCCGTCTCTATGGCACCATCCACTGTCTCTAGCAGTTGCTTTTAGGAACTCCCTAAGGGAGAATAATACTGACGCTGTGGGAGACAAAGATGTGAAGACTATGGGGCAGACCTGTGAGCCCCGGGGTCCAGATGTAATGAAGGAAGAGGCGAGCTGCTTGCCTGAGTCTCTGCCGCTGAGCTGTCCCTTGCCACACCAGCACAGGTCAGAACGTCACACACACGATCCATGAATCCTCTCCATCTGCCATCACATGCAGCTGTAGCAGCAGTGTTTTCAGTGACAACTGTGCCATTCTTTCATCTCACACTATCCACTAGAATATTACCTACTGGAAACCAAAGTCTCTCTTCCTTGCACTTTTCTTCATACAGTATGTTCCTGACAGAGGTATATTGCTTAAACACTGGAGAGCAAACTCACATCTATAGAAAGTGGCATGAAACGAGGTTTGTACAGAGGCACCAAACAAGGTTACATCCCAGGAAAAAAAACAGTGCAGAAACATTAATACAAGCAGAAAATTATTTTCTGACCAGGTTAGAAACATGCACTCCCTTTTAATTCTGCCTTTTGCAGCTGAGTGCAGTACTGTATACAGTATACTGTACAGTAGATTCCCAGAGAAGATAAAGTTTGCAAGCGAGAAAAGGCTATTATTCTGGGGATCTCTTCCAGCCATCTCTTGTGTGATCCCAGGATTTAAGCTTCAATAACATGGTTAGTTAGCTTGTTCCATGTTCCTACAACCCTTTTGTGTAAAGAAATCTGTCATGTTCGTTATCTTACACTTCCTCTTAATTTCCGCTTGTGGCTTCTAGTTCGTTCTAGTATCAACCCTGAAGAAGCTTATTGAGTTGACGTTCGTCATTACCTTTCAGGATGTTGAATCCTCCCATTGCCTCGAACAGGGGAGACTCAAGTCCCTCATGCTCGTGAGAAGGTTTTGGGACTGTCATGTGAAATAGTTGGGTGTAATTAATACATTACAAATGTCCTCTGTTCAGCAGAATGCTAAGGATCTTTACATTTGAAACCCATGGTCACTCTGATGACCAGCATGATCTGTCTAATTGGGTTGGGTTTCCACTAATTTTCTTGTGTGTTAATCAGCCCACAAATGTTGGTGACTGATTGAGTATTGAATAACTAGCAATATGTAAATCTAAAAGAGAAAACTGGATGACATTGTATATGAATTGAAAAAATATGTAAGATTAGCTACATACAGAGAAGAATTGTTTTTATGGAACCAAAATCATTCCTAAATACAAAATGTCCATTTCAACATGATTGTCCCATGACTAGGTTCATTAAGGATTTAGAAAGAGGTATAAGGAACCATTTTTTGTTTTTTGCCCATCAAAATCATTATAAATTTAATTATTTTACATTTCAATTTCTTTTATATTGCAGGCTGTGTTTTAAAATATTTCTTTTGGGCTAAATTCTTCTAGGTTGCTTCAAGAAAGGTTAAGCACTGCTTTCACAGTGCATACGACAAACTGTTTGCATGACCTGTCCCAGAAAATGCCTGTGGTCTTGTTGAAACACTGAGCTGGATGGGCTCCTTGTGAGGAATGTTTGCTGTGTGTTTAGGTGGAACTTTAAGGAGAGTTTCTCCCAGGGTGACCAGGAGATGGAGCAGCCCCTTCGAACTGAGCTTGTCAGTGTTGTTTGGTGCCAAGGGGTGGTTTATCGGTAAGTCAATCAGATGCTTTCAATGTTTTTTTCTTTTGACTGAAGATGCACAAGACACTCCCAAAAAAGGTGTCTTATTTGATATTTATATTAATATACTGTAGTATTTAATGGTTGGAAGTTCAGGTAAAAAAAGTTACTTGGTACAGATGAATTTGCTCTGTACATTTGTTTATAAGAATCATTTCGTAGTGTGTGTCTTCATTATGGGAAAGCACCCAAGGCGACTTTCCTATCTTTCACTCTTTCACACCATAGGGTCCACAGGAAAAAATCACGGAATTCAAGATTGTTATTTTTATTCTACAAAGTCCTCCTTCCGGAAATGTGCCCTCTCATGCAGACTTTCTGTCGATAACACCTCATAGATATTTCTCATTTAATTTGTCTGCTGCAAATCCCAGGTTCTCCTCACAGATTCTCCCTCCTCACCCCAAAGCAATGGGACACTTTTAGCACCTTGTCGAGTACTGTACAATAATGTGTAGGATTAACACTGACAGATGGAACCAGTTTCTCTGCACTTTTGCTTTTAGTACTTTAGAGCTATTGTAATTGTAATTATTGACGATAAATACTGGTGTCACCTTATATTACTTGTAGGAGAGATGTTTTGGAAAGGGGTTCTTTACACCAAAAAAGGTTTAAAATCCTCTCCTAGATCTATATATAGTATATAATATGTGCATTGTTTGAGAAAATTATTGCACCTCTTTTAGTGTTAGGACAAAAGGCACTAGAGTCCTTTCCCAGTCTACAGACGAGTCACCTATTTTTTCCTAAAAAAAGTTCCGGGATGGTACTGTATATCCAGATCTTAAGTCACAGATCAAATGTGATAGCCTGCAAGTTCTTTGGTCCTCTTCCTTAATGAATGATTTTGATTAGGACTTTATTTATCATGTTAAGGTGAGACAGATACACTGTGTCTGTTTAGCAATCTGTTGGTAAAGATGCCTTTTCTTTTCTCCTCTCCCTTCCTGTCAGGCTAATCCGCAGCACAGTCTGCACCATAGAAGCTTACCCCGGTGATGGCTCAGTCATCAGATCGAAAGGAGCGGTTGCAAACTACTTTACCCATCACTTCGCCAAGGACGTTTCATGCCAGGTATGCAAGAGGTCATGATGGAATCCTTTCCAGATCTGGCAGGATACCTCGTTGCATGCTTTCCTGTAGGAAATAAGTCTTCATATAAGTAAAACTCACTGGCATTCCTTAAGGGTCTCTGTCTCCTACCCCTGTTAATTTATTAAAACTCTGTCTTTTAAAGAGCAGCGACTAAGATATAAAAGGTTTTTATTGCTGAAACAGTGACTTGGGGATTTTTTCAGCCGAGAGTGATTCCACATTTTGTACACAGCAGGCACCCCTGCTGAAATCCATGGTTATTATTAATCCAGTTTCTGAGAGCAACTGGAACTTCAAAGGAGTTCCAGAGAACAGAAAGTCTGAAGAAACACATCCAGATGTGCCAACATGATGTGATAGCTATTAGAATATAACAGTAAAGGAACAAGTAAAGCTTTATTCCGTGCTGAAAAGAGAAGAAAAGAAACAGCGTTTTGGCTGTGGACCCTTCTTCGGGTGTTAACCGATGGAATTGTCAGCTGCTAAACAGTTAAACAGCTTGACCATTAAAAATATTAAATATTAGTTACATAAGGGTTGATTTAAGAATTTGACAGCTCTGTAGCAATGAGAACTACCAGACAATCCAGGAAAAAGGAACCGTGCCATTTATTTTCATGGACATGATGATCAATTTTGAATTTTGTTCTCAAAAGACAGCTATTAGTTCTAGATTCATTATTATCTATAATATTAGTTAGATCAGTTACATTGTAAGAAAAAGAAGGAATCGTTATCTTACATTTCTACACCTAAACAACACATGACTCATGGCAACACGTCAGCTGTTAACTACAGTGTCACATGTTTTCCTATAAACTCTGCTATATGATGTTAGTATGGTTCCTTTTGCCTTCCTTTCCTCTGTTACTTGTTAGAAAAAGAATTTTGATTTACTTCAAAAAAACACTTGTTGAAACTTATTGTAACCTCTGATCATAAAACTTCAACCCAGATGTTCCCTTAAAAATGAAATTGGACAATTACGATTGTAAGACATATTGTATACTTATATAACTTATATGATATGTAGGTTTATGTCTTCAAAGACTTTAACTTTCAGGATACTATATTTAAGGGTCAATGGAAGCACTGCCTTTTAAACGTCAGATGTTTCTTTTTTAACCATATTTGTGTTTGGTTTAACATCATCCAAACACAGAGGAGAACCTTAACTAGACATGTCTGTAGTTTAAATCAGAAAACTGGCAGTGTGAGCTCTTGCTGTTGTTTGTCCTTTTCATTTGAGAAGTCATTTTACTGCTCACCAGTAAATGTTTTAAAAGCCAAATATTTTGTTGCTGTTAATTGCCCTGCTGTTATGTGCCCAGTCGGTGGTTTCAGATGGATTTCCTTAATCTGCACCAGTTCGCATACAGTAGTGTGTTTTCTTCTCAGACTTTCTCTTTTTCTTTGGAGTCCACCGTTTATTTTAGCATCAAAGTCTGTTTGAACTAAAACTAGGGTGAGGTGGTGATTGCAGCTTTTTTATTAAAATATAAATCTTTATTTTTTCTGTCCCCCAGTTGATTTCACTATTATATTTGCACAGCATGGAAGACATGAAAGGAATTACTGTTCAGTCCACTTCAGGGTTGAGCTGTAATAAGCACTGTGATGTGCCAGTGGCTCCAGGTGAAATGTGAACTATTGTGATGCTTCTGGCTTTGTGAGATCCAACTTTTGCTCATGTACTATATCTGGGTATCACTGTCTTTCTGCTTCCGGAGCTTGCCTCTCTTTCTGCTTATCACACGTCAGTATGTGAATTAATTATTTGTGTGCATGGTAGATAAGATAGAATCACTGTTTATGAGACAGCAGCTTAAAGGCTTGAACTTCAGTAAGGTTACCACTTGAGAAAACAGTGTGGCAGAGATCTGAGGGATTCTTTCAAATTGTGTTATTTCCTGTGTTTGAGACAACCATTACATTCCTTGAGCTTTAAACACATGAACTTTATTACAACTGAAAGACAGATTAAATTCAGAACAAACAGAATGTCATAAATGTGAGCAGCTACCATCAGCTTTTTTAACAGTACAGATATTGTCCTTGTAAATGAGCAAAACCATTATTCTACATAAACTATATATCCTGAGCTGTTAGAGAATATATTCTGCAACTGCTTTAGGGAGGATTATAACCGAATATTTGAACCCTAAATTTGGTCATTTGAACTAGGACTGTCATTTTGTGAAACACAGTGAATAGTGTAAGCGAGACCCAGCTTCATGCAGCTGTTCAGGGCTATCTCTCTGACATCACATGCTGGCTTTGAGGCAATTTATACAACTTAAATAAGAGGGCATCCCTTATATCAAATCATCATTTCTACAGCATATGAGGCTACTGAAAGTGGGGATAAACATTGCCAAGTGCTGACCCTGCTGTGAGCATTTATACAGAGCACCAATTCTAACAGAGATGTGCATTTTCCCCATGATCATTGATATGATTTCAGCTCTCTTTTTAAACCTTTATTCATTTACTTACCTTGATAAATATTGTTTCAAAACTGTACTTATTTATCCACAATAACTTGTCCTTGATTATTAAATTCTGTTTTATCCTGTATGTTAATAGTAAGGATTGCAGGTCAATTAATTTTTTTGTGTTAATACATATTCAGCTCCATTGGTTAATGCTGTAAAGCAGTACTGCAACTACAACAGAGTTATTTCATTTTAAATGCTACAGCTGACTAAGACAGCTCCTGTGTGAGTACAATGAAATGTTCTTATTTATCTTTACAAACATCACTATAGAGACTGCAATAATTATTAACAGGAACAGAAACTATATGAGTCTACACTATATGAACAGAAACAATAATGACATATCTTTGATCAAACACTATTTTTAATTCACGTATAGAGTAGACAAGTATTCCCTCCTAGAGAAAATAAACCCTTGTTCCAGACAACAATTAAATGCCCTGTACCACCAAAAACAGCAATGAAAATATAAAGAAAGTAATGCCCAATCATATAACCTAAAATAGTGTCTGTCCTTGAAGTCTTAAGACCATGTGTCCAGCTCTGAATTTCACAGGTCTTTTGTAGTGCTTCGGGGAGATATAGTCGAAGCCCAGGACTCTGTGCACTTGTACAGTAGATGTTATCCGAGTGATCAGGGTGAGATAGTAATGGGTCAAAGACAGGCTGACGTTTAGAGTTGGGTTCGAAGTAAAGAGGTGTGCAAAAAGAAAAGAAGATGTGAAAATTAAAAGGGCCACACGGCTGCCAGTCGAAATAAAAAAAGAGAGGCTGGCGAGTTGGCGAAAAAGAGGAAAAAAAAACGGGGAAAAATCTCACTTAAGTGGAGATGGAGTCTGGATAAATAATAGATAACTTCTTAACGGAAAAACCTTCTGCATGGAAGAATCAGAGATTAAAGGTAGGTAGATAAGGTTATAATTTAGACTAGAAGAGGGGTGTGCTCGCTAGGTTGGCAAGGTTGAACTCTAATGACGGAGCGAAGCTTCGCATTCTGAACAGACTTAAATATAGATGTAATTGGTGTGATTGGGAAAGAGTTTGGGAGCCCAACTGAAAGAACAAAGGCTTAATTGAAAGACATCCCAACCTGGTTGGAATGACAGGTTGAGTGCTTGTGGGAATGCTGCTGTTGTCAGGGGCGAGTCAGTCCCGACAAGGTTATTACATCTTTTCCTTATTTTTCCTAGTGTCCACGGCAATGAAATCTTTATGTGGCCTGACCTCAACTTGATTCTTGTGACCACTTGTTTACTCCAGTAACATTAACTCTTGAGGAGCCTCACTGCTCTTTAGAAATGATTGCAGTTACAGTTGACAGTTTTTGCTTCATGTGTTCAATAATGTCCTTCTATTTAACTGTGGCGCAGAATGAATGTGACTTTCAACCTAGAATTAGGGCACTTCTTATTTGGGGTGTGCCTAGATGAGCAAATTAAATAGCAAAGATTAATGTGCAAGTTAACAACACATTACAGCTCATTCTATTCTACAGGATATTAGAAAAAAAACAAAGTCAAGCTGGAGTTCCATATCTGTTTAGCAAATTTCATTTTCTATTTATTGCAGCTCCTTTGAGATGAATTTACTGTTTAGTGGCATATCTGTTACTATTTACTATTACTATTTCAATTTAAAAAAAGGGGAGGAACAGGTCTAAGGATGGCAGACCACTTTGCTCTAAGAAAGATCGCGTGTTGTGCTGCTGTATAACTACTGCACCACGGCAAGATTAATCCACTCATGTACTACAGTCTGGAAGAATCTACTTTGCTAATGCTTTTATTTCCCCAGACTGATGAGAAGATGTATTTCCTGAACAGTCTACCCCCTGATGTTCCCGGTCAGAGATACTCGGTTTCTTCGGTGGTCACAAGGGCCAGCAGGTGAAATATTATTGCAGACACACTTTTAATAGGACACAGAATTAGTTCTGTTTTTGGGAAGCCCTGATCTGTATACCCACTATATCATTGTACATGCTTAGAAAGGTTTACAGTGTAAGACAGGATGGGGTCAGGCTTTTTTAATTGTATCTTCTAGTCTAAAGTGGGAAACTGGTCTCACAAATGGTTTCCTCCTAATAGTTTGTACAGTACATTCGGCACCTGTCATAATGTATTTCATTTTACTATTAGGCCCAAATCAGACAAAACCTATCTCCACCTTTGGCGCCTTATCCAGACTATGTAATAAATTGGCTGGTTAAGCCTTTGCTTTGCTCTTTACTTTTCTCTCTGTCTAATGCTTTTCTTTTGTTGTCCTTCAAGCAATTAAGACCACCCCAGAGGAACCTGAGAGGCAAGCTAATCACAGCTGTGCCTCCTCACACAGTGTTTCCTTTTCTTACCTGGAAATGTAATTTCCTTATTGGAACAGGACAGAATAAAAATACAACCTTTAGCAGACAAGTTTATAGCAGGCAGAGGCACAAACCTCTCAGACCAAAATATTCTATCTATGTAATTCTGCCCCACATTCTGTCTCAAGTGGTGTATACCTTGTTATAAGCAGATTGAAATGGAAAAAAGCACAGTGAAAGCATTGTAAATAATAGAAGGGCTTTAATAAAGCACGAAACAAGACACTAAAAATTTTGGACAAGCAAATGCATGGCTTGCATAACTGACAGGCTGTGGGTTTGAGTCCCTGCTGGAGACACTGCTGTTGTGCCTTGAGTGAGGTACCCAGTGGCTCCAGTCCACCCAGCTGTTTAAATGGGGCCCAGCATTGCTGGGGGGTGATCCCTGTGATGGATCAGTGTCTTATGCAGTGGGGGTAGTCAAGTGCACACAGTTTCCTTAATGCCACAGAAACCAGAAAGAGCACTGGACCGATGAGCTTTTGTGGCTCAAATACTATCTGCCTATCTATTCTTGCAAGAAATTACTTTTTCCTTTTTATGTCAGTGAGATCAACAGTCTCTATACTGTATATGTTGCTGTAGAAAAATCCCTAATATCGTTGATTTAATCAGACACCTTTATATGTTTTGATATACACATGACATAAAATAGATTTTTACATATCCAAAGCACAATGATAATTTGTTACTTAAAACTGATTAAGTGCATGTACCTTTATTTTCAGTATTTTTATAATTTTATAAATGTCTTCTTCCAGAATCCTTCAGTGCTATAATCAATGCAGACTCTCGCTGAAACTCCCTAACACTTTCTGCTGCTGGAAGGAGGTAAGAGGCTGCTTTTCAAATTAAATGGTAGGATTGACATTTAAGATTCCAATGTGTGAGTGATGAATAACAGGAAAACACAAGATGCAACACTGAGAACAGACTTTTATAAGCTTCAGTTTGCTTTGATCCAACCCAAATTGCTGTTTCAGTTTACTACTGTGTTTACCACTGTTTGATCAACAGTGTTCTGTGGAGTTGTGATGAAAAAAGCAGAAAATCCACTTAAATTTTGTTTTGGAAGTAATGAGGGAAAATGTCATTTGAAAACCATCAAAAAAGAGAAAATTTATTGTTGGATTGTTCCTCCCATCTCTTTGCACGCTTATTGTTTTGTTTTTTTGCTTACCAAACAGCTTATTAAACTCAGCAAAGGAAGTCAGCATTTTGAAAGCTCAAACCAGTTTCAGCTTGTCTCAGTGGTACATTAACAGTGATAAAAAAGAGCTGCAACTTGTTGTGAAATGTATTGATGTTCATGCTCTGTTGTTTTAAGTAATTGTACTGTATCTGAAGGCTATATTATTTAACAAGTGGATCAGTAGGCAGCAGTTTTGCTTAAGATCTCAGCACTTATTTAAAGACATTAACTTAGATTTTGGAGATGAATACATTTTTTGTGCTTACTTATAATATGGAAAAAAACAAATAATTGTGTTATTGTTGGAGTGTATCATTCATGGCAATATAACCACAATTCAGGAGAGGAAAGGCTGCACTAGAGAATTTCAGTCGTTAAGGTTAATTGAAGCTTCCAAGAAATTTGTGAAACAGACATGCTTTTTGATACATTTTTTGTAATGGTTTGTTGAGTGTGGTAGCATCTTTTAATATGAATGAATTCAAAATATAATTACTTTCTTCAAAGCTCAATGGAACAAATAGAATGACAGTAATACTTGCCGTTTTAATATATTTTAGTTGTAGTATTGAAAGGCTTAGCAACCTTGCAATGGCCAGATTTTTTTGTAAAATATACTTTAAGAGTTGGACCAGACACCATATCGGGATTGTTTTTATCTTTACTGACAGTAACCAAGTGCTGATTTTAACAACCCCCAGAAGTGAAATTTTGAATGCTCAGTTAGTCAAAAAAATAAAGAAAATTGTCAATTCACATGCATAAAAAATGACATTTAATACTGTTTCTGTATGCAAATGTATAAGAAAAGGTAAAAGAAAAAAAGTTACATGGCCACCTTTATTCCCAACTAGAGGGTTCTTGTATTATAATCACAAATAGATAATTTTGCTCTAAATAGCTAGATAAACAAATATTGTTATCATATACATACAGTATACCATAAATGTATCATTATAGTATAATTAGCAACATTATAACTTTTTTAGATGCCTTTCGAGGTAATTGAATTTTCTGCCAGCTCTTCTGGCCTTTTCTCTATATTATTTTATCACATGCCAGGTCACTGAATGTAAGTGTGGTTAGTCACCACCATCCCATAGTCTTCTTGTTTATTAACTAGACTCGGACTGTTTGCGCAAACGCATTTTCTTTAAATAATAAGAAAAATCAGTTTTTGAATATGCAGAGACACATTTCTGTTTATTTCAGGTTGTAGAAAGTAACTGTATTTGCAGTAATTTCTACTTCCGGAATTTTGCAAAATATTAAGAATCCCCTAAACTTTTCAAATCTTACCAGCCACCACTGAACCACAGTTTCAAGATTTTGTGCTTGCTGCATTTTGAAATGACTGAGGCACCACAGTATAATTTTATCATTTTCACGTGTTATGTGTTAGTGAATCTCTTTGTGCAATCAGTGCATACAGCTGCTGTGAATCATGCGGCCAGCACCACATACTCTCGCTTCCAAATGCCTTCTCTCTTTCCGTGCACTGTTCTTGGGAAATGGGTTCAAAAAACAAACAGTATCCATATGAGGCCAGATCATTCCTCCTCTCTAACCAATTTAGCATATAATCCAGGATGTTTAGAGCTGGAAGGTCTGTGCCAGAGTGAATTATCCTAAACAGACATTTCTGCTCTAATGGTCCAGAATTTTTATTAGAAATGCCTTTTATTTGCTGTTTTACTTCTTTTGAAAGTGCTCTGAAATGGTTCTTTGATTTATCTGTTAAACAGAAGTAGCAACATACTTCTGTGTTTTACTGAAAACTAGAGCAGTAAAACCAGATGATATTGGACTAGGAAGTCTTGGATTACATTTGTAATGGATTTAGAACATTGCGGTGTGCTTTGTCACAGTGGACAAACTAAGGCATTTTTTCACATTTTAAAAATAAGTATATTCTTATATTATTATTATATAAATATTAACATTGAGTATGTTGTGCAGGTACTAACCTCACATGTTCAGTAGCAAAATTAATAGCATGCATTTCTGTAAAACTAAAACTAAAACTCCATGCATAACCAATTCTGACTTCCTCTAAACGTCAAGCAGGAGGTTCTGAAAAACAACATTTTAAATGACGGTGCTGTGTTGCAGCTGTTGAAGCACTGTGCCAGTAATTTTTCTTTTCAGTGTTTGTAGTCAAACAGGTTTTGGAACTAGAATTCTGCTGCACTCACTCTCAAGATCTCAGTCCTGGGTGCTGTGGTCTTGCTAGTGTCCCTCACAGTTGCTAGACACAACCTGATGCCCTGGAAATGCTTCCTATATTTCAGGTCCCAGACTAATCCATGAAGTATCTGACCTTTGTTTCCACCTTACTCTGCACATAACCTCCTGGTCAAGCCTTAAGGAAACCTGTTTCATGTTTCTGTTTTTTTACTTAACAACCTGTCAAAGGGGGATGTGGTTTGGCTGAGCCTGTTTAAGAGCTTATTGACAGGTTGCTCTGATGTTGCTTAAATCACTCTTTTAAGTTGAATATGGGTTGCTCACTGGAAGGGAGGTAAACCCAGAAGTGCAGATCCTAATTAAACATGTGCTGCAAGCTAGTAATCCTGTATACTAGTGTGCACATAACCTTCTCCTCAGCAGTAAATCCTCTTTTGAGACAAAAGGAAGACACAGATGTAACCGTTTAAGCAATGGAGAGGGTTTTCCACACAGACCCATTTCAAGACCACATTTGGTCAGCTTGAATATGTCACATCTGTTATAACACTATCGAGGCGTGAGTGCAGTGGACACATTTTTCTTTTTTGCTGTGGTTTTAAACTGTCATCTGAGAAAATATTTAAAAGATTCAAGCACTGAAATACTCAAATTATTTAATCACACAGAAAGTGCTTTTCATGGTTTTTTTTTATTAAGGGCTCTATATAAGACAGTACAGTAAGGGTCAGTGTTGTATTTTCAGTCAAGCAGTTGGAGATTTTTGATCCGATCCACGTTATTTTCCATTTTCTTTTTTGATCAGTTCTCCTGTTACCATTATTGTGCCCCCATGTGATATGTGATACCACATGGACCTGTTTCTGGTTATTACTAATTTCTGTACTTATAAACCATCTTCCGTCTTACATTTTTAAGCTTTGTCTTTGCTAAAAAAATGTATGGCTTTCATTTGATATTTTTAATGCTAATAACTTCATTTGCTTTGAAGTAGAATCCTTATACTGTAGCTTGTGAGCGTCCTGTTAGTGTTTATTATTGTGCTGTTCTGGGTAGTGATGTCCTGTTTCTCTATGATAACTTTAATCTGTTGGGCTTTCTAAAGCAATTTGAGATCTTGCCCTCCTTGAAAGGATGCTTTAAAAAGTAAAGATTTAGTTTGATTTCAATTGGGAAGACAAAGAAACTAATTCAGCCCTCCCCTGACAAAAGGACCTATAATAAAACATGTTCTCTCCTTCTAACTCCCAGGAAAGCAGCGTGTCAGCTCTGCAGAACCCTGCAGTACTGATAGAGGAAGCTTATATTCCAAACACAGGCCGTTTCAGCGCTTATTCGGATGGGAGGGTGCATGTCCTTTTCTGGGACGGGACGGCTTTACACATGATGTGGAACTTCAGCTCTCTGGGACTGAAAACACAGGTGCAGTGCAGGCAACATATTGGATAAAAGAATTGCTGCTGTGCACCTGAATTAGCTGTCAGCGCGAGACTTCATAATAAGGGTCTGTAATGCGCTTAATTTTGCATGAAGACACATGTGCTTCCTGTTGAATTTATATTGAATATATAAACCAATGTGTTTTCATATTCCCCATTTTATTAATGTCACAACTTTTATTAAGTGAATGAATTTTGTTTATAGTACATGTTAAATCTTTTTGTGCATATGTTTTGAACATACAGTACAGCCCTTTAAGGGACAGTATTGATTTAAATCTTGAATACAATTGAGTCTCTTTTTTCTCCCACTGAAGTATATCACACATCACACATATTTTGCTTCACAGGTTACAAAATCAAAGCGGATGATTAGGACTGAGTGTGTTAGTAAATGCTCCGTCTTTCTGTTGGGCTCGTATTTCACAGGGCAGAGGGACCTTCCTGTGTGCCCCAGGGGGGCAGCAGGTGTCAGGGTGGTGTCAGCTGACCAGGCCTGATGGACAGTGTCACCTGGTGCAAGTGCAGGCCCCTGGAATGCATGACAGGTACAAAAGCAACACAAGGAGCCTGAGCATAACGTTCTTGCTAGACCAGTACCCTGAGTACTGCGTACTGTATGTGCACTGTATTACATTACCTATGCTAAGAGGGATTTTCCTTCAGTGGCATTTTTAACAAGTCATATACAGTATAGTCAACTTACTGTATACTGTAGTTTCCGTGGTAACTTTGGTTACGTGCAGGTAGAGTTAGAAATTCTTAGCCTCTTTATCTGGTTTTATGAGGACTATAGGGATGCAATCTCAAGATTAAATCAATATGTCTAAGGAAGAAAGTTGGAAGAAAGCTTGAGCATGAAAACTGATTCACTGTATATGAAAACGTGTTAGTTTTCTTGACAGAAACGCATCATCATCTTGCGTTTTTGTCGGATTGCTATAAAATGAGTTTTTTCCTAAAATGGTCCCATACACACTTTATATATAGTATAGGCAAACCCTCACACAATTTTAGTTGTCTGCAATAATTGACCCGTTTCGTGCCCATTCCATTACAGTCTTCTCCAGTTTTATTTTAAATATTTTTGTGACTCAGGATGTTTGTATCAACAGTGGTTTCATTCATCACTGTCCCTATTGTAAAAGTGACTGTCCTCTTTTCTTTGGCATGGAAAGGCTCCCCACATACTTTATTCCGACACACAAGAAACACACGTCATACGCACAAGAGATGGAGTTTTTTCACCTGAGTCACCAGTGTGCTTCAGAAAAAACAGGGATGAGTTCAGTATGAAATATTGTCTGTCAGATTATAGATGCATTTCCATTTGTCACTTCTACTCTGTGCACCATCCTTAACTTCAGGATTTTCTACAAAAAGACTGCCTGGACTAATTTAATCCCATCTGTTCTTTAGGTACGTGGGTGCAGCTCTGAATTGGTGTAAGTGGATAGATCAAGCTCCTCAGAGCAGGAAAGAGTCTGCCAGAGGTGTCCAGATGTCGGATCCAAGTGAGGAGTGGTAAGAATCTAAAAAGTCAAAAATATTTTTAAAAATGTACAGAATTTAAATTGAATTTCTTAATACATAATGCCATTTTAATCTGTATGGATTTCTAGTTTCTTACATTTTGGTATTGAAATCTGTTTCTCTTTTAAAATGATAAGGAGATTCATACTGTATAATGAACATTTGCATTTATACTGTTTAATATATTTTTGCTCTGTTTGACTATTGAATATGCGTATTTTTTCTTTTTTGCTTCCCAGGTCTGTTGAGTGTGAACTCCAGAAAATCAAAAGGTTTAATTGTATCCTTAATTACTGGTTCATCAACAGTTTATATTCTGTATAATTGGGTCTGTAGCTGTTAAGTGAATTTCTTCCTTATGAGTGACATACAGTTTTGTAATGCAAAATAATTTGATAATGAACCAAATTTAACTTTTAGTTTTTCCTTCATTAAAAGATTTTGTCATGTCCTTTTAATTTCACTTAATCCTTTAATTCTTTTAAATCTCAAAGCAAATTAAATAAAGCTACATTCGACACTCAGTTATTTCCAAAACATACAGTTTACTGAGACTCCAGGCTTGCTGAAGGTACTGCTTCTGTTTCTTTAACCCAAAGCACAGTTCTCCTGGAAAACAGTGGACTCGTAAAGACAGCAGCCAGTGATGCCTCCAAATTGAACTATGTTTCCTGCACCGATGGTGGAGGTTCCTCGGGAAAATCCAAAGAGAAGAGCATTGCTGAAGCACTGGCGAGAACGTCTCAAACCATCAAGGACATTGAGACGTTGTTAGCAAACAGGGCCACCAAGAGCCACAATGCAGTGTAAAAATTGTCTTCACTTGATATCACTTATTTTTCCACCAGAGATCCTGGAAATCCCTCAGAGACTGTTCAGGGGGTATCCTGAACCAGACTGAAACTTCAATTTCCATCTCATTATGCTAAAAACTCACACAGTTGACTTAACTCTCACAACACCTATGGCGAGTGTGTTGATGTACAGTTGTCTTTAATAGATTTTTATAGTGAATGTTTTACATCACTGTTTTGATGTGTGAATGCAGATGTAACTATGTCAATTTCTTCCTTTGAAGGATCCAGTGGTTGCTTTGATTTTGATATGTTATCTTTCAGAATGTAACTTTACGTTCTGTACATGAGAACAACAATCAAGCTAAAACAGAGCTTCAGTGTTACTAAATTCACAGCTTGCAAAGTCTTGGAAGCAACAGGAGATGTTTCCTGGGACAGAAGATCACGGCTACGTTTGTTTGATAGACACTTGATACTTAATGTCTTTGTTTTCCTGCACAAATACCTGCCTTTGTAGTGTAATACAGAAGTTGTCTCTTTTGAACAAGTATAAAGGCAAACTCATGTGTCCTCCTTTGACTAGGCTATAATGCATTGAGAAGACATGCCTGCAAACTAAATATGTTGTGATTAAGCTAAAAGGTTAAAAGGGGAACATTTTCTTTAGTGACTTTAATTCCATAACTTACACGTCATTACTTTTGTATCTCATTTTGGTGTGTGGTTTTATTAAACAGCTCATTTAAAGCATCTTAAGCTGACTCATCAGGTGGCTCTGACAGTCTTCTCCAGTGTTGACCCTTCACAGGTTTCCTAGTAATTGATGGACACTGGGGACGGCTCTGTGCTGTAATGGTAATGCGAGAAGAATGAGGAGTGTTTCGCTATTGCCCTTGAGTCAGCACAGTGTTTGCTTTTTCCAAGCTTTTGGCATGTTGCACGCAGGTGCAGGAATCATACAGTACTTGGAACATGGCATCTGGACCATACTGTACATAAGCATTGAAATAGGTGCTGAATCACACATTCTGGAATATTTTTTAAAAGATTTGATTTCAGACTCACTTCATGCATGAGTTTTGTACCAATGCAATCTGAAAATGTAAATTATAAATGATTCAAAGGCACCTTCAATAACTTTATTTGTGCTTGACATATCGACAGTTTCTGCCTTCACGACTACAGTCGGGTGGGTGTGTCGTGTAATTTGTAATCGGAAAATCCATGCAGGAAAATGACAAAGAACAACATTTTATTTCCTTCTTAAGTTGTACAAAAGAATCCTTTTAAAATATTCCCAGATGTGTTTTTTTCCTTTAAAAAGTTTGACTTAAGAAATCAATGGGTCTAAGGTCAGACTTTCTTTGTTTACATTGTCTACTAGAAAATCAATGTGTACAGTTGAATGCGAGGCTTGCTTGTAAAGAGCTCTTCCTGAGTGTAGTGCGCCATGTGTCTTTGTTGGCCCTCTCACAGAGATCAGGCTTGGTAATGAATTGCAGATGTGGGATTATTTAAGAAAATTACAGGAATTAACCCCTTCATTGCTCTGAAACATGTACCTTTTAAATATTTTGTGATTCTTCGCAATATACAGTTTTTTTAGCAGAAAAAGAGTGAAAGCAACATTTTACTAAACCTGTAGTGTTATTTTTCGGAGGTGCTGTGGACACTTGAACTATCAAATATCAAATCCTTTTTTGTGTATGTTAAATATATTATAGTAAATGTTTGGAAGCATCAATGTGCAATTTTTTACACCAAAGCTAATATGTTGATTTGTGTCATAAATAAAGCAAACTTATTAAATGCAATGTGTGATGGGACTGTCCATTATCATTGATTTATGTACATTAATTGTTTATTTCATTATGAAAAAGAAACCTCCTTTAAAGGAGAGCTGGGTCTCTCTCATCTCTTCTTATCCTTTTTTCACTTTGTTGATAACAACTGTTAGTAAACACTGGTTGGTTTTTCGTTGTTCATTTTTTTTTCAAAACACAAACTGAATTCAGTTATGTTATTTTTGTAAAATTGAACCAAGGAGTTTCCTTTGAGTTAAAGCTAACACTTCTCAACAGTCAAACAGGCTTTTTGTAGGCATTTTCTTGCTGTGCTGTGTTAGTTGAAGGAGGTCCCAGCATTCTTTCTTGGTTGTAGGAGTCTCAGGTTTCAGAATACAGCTTCCACAGGACTTCCCTACACTTTCATCGTCCCGCTTTACCCCAGCTGGAGTTGTAACCGAAGGCAATACGGACTGATAGATTGAGACCATCTTGGATTAACATTCAGTCTGCAATGTTTAAAATCACTTTGAAGCTTCCAGATTCCAGGAGTTTCCTGAAACAAAGGCAGACCTTAATCTGAAACAGGGTTTGTTCCTGTACTCTGACTAAGAGAGGCACCCCTACAAAATTCTAAACTTGTGCTCCTCAAGATGAGCATAACTTTGTAATGTATTACTGCTTGGAGTCAAGCATAAGTGGTATGCTGAAAATGCGGAGCCTGTTGATGCTGTTATTTCTGTTCGCCCTGGGGAGCAGCGATCTTGCAATAACTGCAGGTCAAAAAGACGAGCCCTGGGAAGAGGTGCCTAATTTACAGCCCACTGGGAAGCGTGGAACAGCCAGCAAGGAACGTGTGTCAGATGATGAAGCACAGGAGAGCACCTCCTCAAGGCCACCAAATCCTCATGCCACAAGAGTCATGGATTTTTTGGCTAACTTTACTGGTAAAAATCGCCTTTGGGTCATCACAGCTCCTTCCTCCGCTGACCACTATTTCAGGATGATGGAAAAGCAAATAGAAGAAACGACGGGGCTGAACTGCCGCCTGGTAGAGAGGGACACCTTCATTGTAATCATCATTCAAGATGCCATGATGGAAGGCAAGATCAGAAGAACCACCTATCAAGGGGAGGTCATAGAAGAGGCGATTGATTCAGATACAGTCTCTGAACTGCTGCGCTATTTGTCATTGCAGGATGGAACATTTGGCATGCTAGTCTTAAAGAAGAACTTAAAGGTTGGAGAGCGCTTCCCTTACCCTGTTAGAATCGAAGCTGTCTTGGAAGCCATCGACCAACTGCCTTTACGGAAAGTAGAAAAGCTGACAAGGAGAGGAGCCTTCAAAAGATGCAGAGTTCCTAAGAGGCCAGTGGCAAGGAAACAAGGCCCAATCACAAGAAAGGTGAGAGTCTCCAGTCCTCTGAGACAAGCTAACTCTACTTCTGTGACCTTCACACAGAGGAGGCTGGGAGACAAGAAAGATGTCTTGAAGAACAAGGTGCAGGACATATTGAGAGGAAAATCTAGATTTGTGATTCGTCAGAGTTCCAAAGATGCATTGCCTCAGCGCACTATATCTGCGCAACCAAAAATGAACAGAAATCACTCCAGGTCTGAGAACACTGCAGAAATAAGCCAGATATCACCTGGATCTCAAAACAATGGCAAAGGATTACACCATAACAGAAAGCTGGGTGAAAAGTGGCTCTTGCAGGGCACAAGGACAGACCCTGTTCTTCCCCTACAGCAGCCAGGATTAACAGAATCAGCGAACACAGACAGCACCCTTGTTCCTTCAGAGAATGAGAAGAACGAGGGCTCACAAGCTGTTCCCTCCTCAGTTAGTTCTGGTGAAGTTCTGGAAAAAGCATCAGCTAACCAAGCTGGGAAAAGCACCACAACTCGCGAACGAGAAAAGAGTGAATATGACTTCTCTTCCAGAGAGGACAAAAACACGACCGATCCCAGCAGGGACAAAACTGCTGAAAGTGCTCCAGCAAGGTCAGGAAAAGGTAGGAAGGGAGACTCCAAGAAAAAAGACAAAGGGAAAGGCAAGAAGGGTAAAAAAAAAGGACGCAAAGGCAGGAAGAAAACCCGGAGGGCTACGGACAGCAAGGCAGATCTGAGTTTTTTGGAGAGTTTCAAGAATAAGAGGAGACTTCTGGTAAGAAACAAATATCAGAGCTTCTTTCTTTAGTTTAATTTTGTTAACTGACTATAGGGCCTTAAAAAAACACGTTTGTGCTGCTACCACCAGGGCGTTTGTCTAAGGTTAGTAATCACACCACACATTAGCCTGACTTTGGTCAAGTGAATGCTCTTCCACAGCTGTCTGTATAATGACCATAAGGCTGGGAAAAATCTACTTCTGATTAAGCTTTTTAGAGTTTATAGTCTATACTGGATGATAGTTCATGATCAGTTCATGTGGCATACACGTCTATGTTGACACATTCAGTTATTTCTAAATGTCTAGTTAATATTTAGTTGTTTAGAAAAGGAACAAGAAAGAAGAATAAAAACGTTTTAAGCTATAGAGCATATTTTAGGTGTGTGTCAGAGAAGGCTGGGAGTCAAGAACGCTGTCTTGAGAAACAAAGTGCAGGACATATTGGGAAGAAAATCTAGATTTCTGATTCTTCACAAAAATCCCAAAGATTCATCAGATCTGCATGACCAAAAATGCATTACACACCTGAAGAAGGCTCCATAACCAAAACATTTTTCTCCTTCCTTTCTACTTTTCAATATGGAATTAAGCTCTGCTTGTTCCTGTGCAGCCTGCACACAGACACACTTCCCTCCTCTGACCAAAAATTAATTGAGTGTTTCTCAAACCAGGGCTTTTGTGTAGAGTATGTGTTGTAGAGATTTGCTGCGGTCTTCATGTGAAAAAATGTTGAGAACAGCATGATCCACCTAATTGTCAGTCACATTTTTAAACATCTTATGGATTTCTAAGCGCACAGGCAGTAATGTAAGGATAAACATAGGCTATACCCATATCAAAGACATTCTACCAGAAAAAAGCTTTCTTAATACTCACTTGAATGTGTTTGTATTTTATGCATGATTTCATAAGTCATGGTAGTCTGGCAGACTTGATTGCAATGAAATGGTTACTTACAGTAGGTAATTCTCAAGGCTTAAAGTGTAAGAATTCAAATTCCTTAAAAATATCAGTCATGTAAACCCGTGAGTAACTAGTGAGACAATAACAAAGAAAAACAATTGATCACACTAAGTAAAACTGAGTTTTGAACTCCCTGCTGTAGATGTAATTGTGGAAGTCTGTATTTCCACAACTATGTGACACATTTTATGAATTAGCAATGAACAATAAACTAAAAAAAGAAAGCAATAAAATGCATAAACATTTTCTTTCTGTAGATCATTGCTACTCCAAGTGAAGACAATCCACTTTACATCCAACAAAGAGATGAAAGTGTAAAATACAGCTGTGAGCTAGCAGCAAGGAAGATCTCTGTTGTAACAGTTCTGGGCTCTGAGCACAATGGCTCTGTACAGCTACAGCATCATCTAGCAGGTATGTTTGAATGGTGCATTATCACTCAGAGTAGAGATCCTATCATTTTAAACCACAAACTGGACATTCGGGAAAATAACAGACAGAATGAACTAGAATCTTATTTTACTTTAATTGTTCTTTACTTTGCATTATCATAAAAACTGCAATGGACTGGTGTCCTGCCCAAGGTGAATCCTGCCATGTACTCATTGCTTGCCGGGATAGGTTCTGTTATGACACTGAATTAGATTAAGCTGTTAGATAATTTAAGACTTAATATGTCAACAGAACTTTCCAGTTCTGGTTCTAGTGCACCTATTATCAGCTGCTTTCCCATCCAAACTTCCACTTGCTTAATTGATCTCTTAATCGGTAATTACTGATTAAGACCTTAGTTAAAAGTTACATCTTTTTCAGTTGAGAGAACAATTTAAAATTAGTAAAATTTTTCTTTGGTTATAAGGTTGAAATCAGGATTTAATTAAATGATGAAGGACACATTTGGACTAGAAGAGACTGTGAAGACCATGAAAAATTCAAGACACCGAACTTGTGTTCCTGGATTGTGAAGACAAGTTCAGTATATTTGAATGGGCTATTCTCTTATCAGAAACCTAGAATATTGAAAAAGGTTTTACAGTATGTTTTACTATCTTGTGCTCAAAGCTCACAATGGATAAACAGTTTTATCAGATTCAATATTTGCTGCCATGTTATATTCAAAGCTATGAATATTGTCTGTTGTCATCTTACTGTTGAATTTTTATACTAGGAGTAAATTAGCTTGCTGATTGACAGATGTAGCTCCAAAAAGATGAGAGAAGTGTTACACATTTTTAATGGGTGTCGAACAAGTCATCCAATACACTTTTGTTTGTGCAAAATCACCAAACCTGTCTAAAAATACCAACGTATTTTCACATATCTGAAAATAACAATACACTTTCATGCAACTGTACTTAACTACACTGCCATATTCAAAAATAATTATACATTTTCATGTGCAGGTATCCAAAAATAACAATCCCACACACTACTGATAAAGCTAAATTTAGTTAACGACAGTCGCTTGTTCATATGCTGTATTTTTTCAGTAAGCACAACGGTCTAGAGAAATTAAGAGATTGAACTGGATTGAAAACTAGAAGACTCCATGGCACTTGTATTTGACACCCACTGCCTAGTCAGTGTCACCCAGAGAACACCAGTTTGCTGCTGGGAGTGATTTTGCCAGTCCAGTAGGTGGAGCCCTTTCCTCTGAATCAGAAATTCCTAGCTACGCCCAGTTTTACAGAATGCAACACTGAGCTGTAGAAGGTGTTGTCTTTGCAGCAGCTCTTTGTTATCACTGTGTACAGTATGCATCTGTGTTAACTCTGTAGGCCGTTGCTCTGAGAAAGGTCACATGTAAGCCGTAAACCTGCACCTCTAGAAAATGGTGTGACTTCCCACATTCCATAGACACAGACTATCTGTCTCAAACCTCTAATACATCAATAAACATCCTTCCTGCATTAACACACAGGTTTCAAACAGGCTTCTAACCACAAAAACCAGCACAGCACCCCCCAAAAAAACAGAAAATCAAGCAAGACCACTAGAAGACATGAAACAGGCTGATGAAACCTGCTTCTGCCTTGTTTCACGGATAAGGATTTAACTCATACCTTAAAATAATTTATTTGTTGAAGATGCTGATCTTTCACCTGACTCACCTCCAGAGGAATCTAGTGATCTGATCGCTCAGCTTCACAAGGAGTATCGAATAGTTTATAACACCTTCTTCATGACAGTGACGGACTATGATTTGGAACCAAAGGTACGTTGGGAGTTATCATCAATGTGGTTAATTTTTTAACCGCACAATTTTTTTTTCCTACACAATCCAGCATTTGACATCTGAACAACTTTTAAGGCTACTCACAAAAGTATCATTTTTAAGTCTGCACTATTATTTTTTGTCATTTGGGTAACAGTTCCATACTACACAATCCCTGAAAAATCACCTTTGCTGAAACCAACCTTTTAAACAATTGCTTCCTAGATTAATGGAGAAATAGTCTTGTGGTTTAGGTTTTGTTCTTCACACATATCTTAGATGTTTTATTGTTTACATATCAGTTAGCCAAACACTTCAAACAGCTCTCATATTTCAATAACAAATAGGTAAGGTATCTTTGCTGGATTTCTCAAGCACATGAAGTTTATTCACACTCTTGTCATTGTACTCTCAGGTTCTGAAAAACTTTTTTTATTTTAATATTTACTACCAGTATTAAAACCAATTTACTGCAAAGCCAGTTTTCCAGCCTGGTGTAATGTAACAGAAGTTGTATAAAATGTTTTCCAAGATTTGTGCCACTCAATGGTTTCTTCTAAAAAAGGCAACAAACTTACAGGACTTCTACCAGGAGCAAGAGCTTGAGCTAATGAGCAACTGGAAGAGAAACAAAAAAGTTAATAAGTTGTGTTAAACATTAATCTTCAGATAAAATCTGCACCCTCTCAGGATTTGACTGACTTTGCAGTCACTTGGGAGAGGCCCTCCAGACAATTCTGCATCCTGGAGCCATAGTCCCCTAATTGCCTTGTCACACCACTTGATACTCTGTAAAGGATCAGCAATATCTGTTGGACTGGTTATGATCATTCAGTAGTTATGGTTACTGGTTATGGTTATCTGCTGTCCATGTTATGAGACCTTATACACAAAGACACTGGCGTCTGAATAAATGCACAAGCCAATGCCACTGCTTGGTTTCTGTTCTTAGCAATTCTTCAACACGCCCGTTTCCATACCACTGATGATGGACTATATCGACACGTTTCCCTCAAGGCAGGCTGAGGCTGAGGAGGAAACAAGGCATTCTGTCTCCTGCAAGGAACGAGAGAATCAAAGCAAAGCTGAGACATTCCTGTCAAGGTACATGAGCTCCCAAACCTTTTGGACAGAGATATTAAAAGACAAAAAGAACAGTGACGGTTTTATAAAAGTGCAGTATAGAAGAAAAGTAAAGTAGTTGCCTAAAGGAACTACTTGTACATTATCAGAACTGTCAGAATTTCCTTCAACAGCCACATATACATATTTTTGAAGCATAGTAGGTTATGTGCTCAGTGGAACCAGTGTTTGCGATTAGAAATGAAGAAAGCATCATTGGCTCCTATGATCTGCACAGGCTGTTTCAAATCCATTTGTCTGCCCTGTATTTGAACTCATCATCTTTTCTTACTCATTAAAATACCTTTTGTATTCTACTGTAAAGTACTGTACTGTATATGGAATAAAATAAATGGATGTTAAAAATTATACTTTTTATCAGATTTGCTGCTGAAAGACGGCTGTTGATTGTTTCCTCCCCAACAGAAGAAGATGAAACTTTTCAGCAGCAAAAGGCATCCCTGCATGGGCAGGCTTGCTTTCTGGGTGAGAAATATTTATCTGATTTAATTGTTCTTTTGGTAAACACATCTTGTTAGAGGAGCTAAGATAAAGAGCTTTACAAGCAACATTGAGCCAAAAACTATCAAATGGAAGAACATCAAAAGGTCCCCAAACTGGAGACTGGGCTCCCATTTTGCATAGTGGACTGTTAGTTGATCGATCACAAAATTTCATCCAACTGCTTCTGATGTTTGTTTCTCTGAAGGGTTCCATCATTTTGCACTGCTGATACTAACAGGTGATGGTTCTTGGGCTGCTGGTTCTCTGCAGTTGTTTCCTCTCGATGGTGAGTCTGTTTTGTGTCTGTACCTGTACAGATAAGAGTATTTACCGGTACTGTAACCTGTAGACAAGTGAATATATCCCACAACATGGTTTTAAACCAATAGCCCTATACCTATTGATGTTCCTTTTAAGGACCATGGCTGTATAATTGTTTCAAATTAGAGCCATTGTCTGACCCCACTAGGACTGGTGATCACTTCTGATGATCTCTTGCTCATCATACTTTTCACAAGCTCTCATTGCAGACAAAGAGCAATACAAGCAAACAGAATTTTATCATTACTGTTAATCTAATGTCTCTGTATTTGTTGTGTAATGCTAGTTTAAAAACATCTCAATATCTCTAACAATGCAGCCAGAGGACATCCCTCCCAGCCACTGACAGTATGTTTCATCTGATTACCACAACCACACCTGAGCTGCAGTTTAAACCTGTGATATTTGCATAATATGACATGTTCTTCTTGCTTAGTTTTTCTATGTACTGAGGAAAACATTTTCTCCACATCTCATGCAATACATTATAAGTTCAGACCATCTGAGAAACACATTAGCCACAAGACATTAAAAAACTCTTAACCTCATTATGAAATAGATCTAGTCTATTGGGCTGTTTTTCGTTAAAATACATTTTCTTTGGGAGAACAGATTGGAGCACCTTGTTGGACATTTTCAGGATGCTCAAGGGTTCAGTGGCAATACCAGTGTTTTTCTTGTTATGTAAACAAGCAATGGCAGCATTTTCTCCCTTTAACAGAAACACTGTAAGATCATTATCAGTTTTCTAGGAAAACTCAAAAGGGGGCTTTAGTGGAATTATGTAGGTGCTAAGTCTGTGTGTTACAATAATACAAATTAATGTTTGACGAAGGCAAAGCAGTAGTCTTTACCACCTGCTGTAATCATTAATAGAGAGGAAAAGGCCCATGTGAACTGAAAATTCTTATTTTACTTTCTCTTTGTATGCATGCAATCAATGTGTTCAAGAGAATCAGTGTGGACTGACCAGTGGAAAAGCTTTTCCTGTGGTCTGGAATCCATCTTTTCTTTTGGCCAAGAAGAACTACTGAGGACCAAGCACAGTGCCTGACCGGTCACATTCTTGCCTTCTCCTGCAGGGACGGGTCAGTTGAGAGAGGAGGGACTTTCCCCGGATATAGTGAATGGCATCAGGGAACACTTCAAGATCAGCAGGGACTATTTCACCGTGCTGGTGATTGGAAAGGGCGGCGCCATCAAGTCTCGATACTCCACTCCACTGTGGTCCACAGCCATCCTCGACAGCCTGCTTTATTCCGTGGAGCTCCAACCAGAAGAAGAGAAGCTGAAGGAGACTCTTGGCATAAGCTGCCCAGAGAACCCAAGCAGCTTTTAGGTTCATGAAGAAACCACCCTAGAACCTTGGGGACTAAGACTGCTGATGATGTCTGTTTTATCAAAGGATGTTTTTCGTCCTCTTAAGATGTTGTGTATTCATGCTGCTAATTCCCATCAATGTCTCTCTATTCTTTTGAGAAAACACTGCATGCTACCGTGACCAGCTTTACATTTCACAAATAACCACAAGAAGAAGGAAAAAAAGACCATTTTAACAGGCCATTTTGGTGATTCACTAAGCAAATTGATGGTGACAACATGCGTGCGTGTAATTTCCGAAAGGGCACTTATTGAGACGAGGAGTAACAGAGAGGTGGCGCTGGTCGTTGTGCTGTACTGTATATGCATGTCTCAGTAGAAGCTCCTTTAATTTCAGTTTTGTTTTAAACAATTAAATCTTCTAAATTTCTTTCAAGTATTCTCATACAGATGTAAAAAATAATAAAGCACTGGTTGCATGTAACAGCACTGTTGATCATATTCGGTAAGAAACTGTCCATTTTAATAAATTGCTATATTTCAATAATGTTTAGGTCCTGCAAATGAGCATTTATGAATACTTAAAGAGCAACATAAGCTACATTATAAGTCGCAAAATGTTACTGATGTATTAAAACTGAAAGGTTTCAGAACCAGTGGGTCAATTTAAAGTCAATATTTAATTTTTTAAGAGAAAATGTGTTTTTTATTGAAGGAAAAATGTATTTCTACACCATATTGAGAGAAGCGGTTTCTCCTATGCACCAGCAGGTGTAACTAAGGCTCCACCAGACCTATAGCTGACAAAAACTGCCTTAAGAGAAAGCAAATGACACAAATTGCAATTGCCAAAGACTGTTTTGCACAGATGAGGCTGTAGTTTCTTAATGTAATATATTGTATACAATCATCTGTATTATTACCTTGAGAATACTGTATTTTGTATTCATCCAGAGACGGTATTTAACACAGAAGTGAATATTGGTACAGAGCTTGCAATGCAAATTGAGTTAAAAAAAATTCCATTGTGGTTAATGGCGAAATCTAGACGTTAGAGTCAAACTCCAGGAACACCATAAATCCCTTTAGCCCTACAAAAGAAAGACACAAAACCTACCACATTTAACATACCTCGGTTCTTTGGTGGCCAACCTTAATATTCTATTTCGGTATAATGTAGTTACAGCTCGTCCTCGCTTAAGATTCTGAACAATAAATAATTAACATAAATAAATAAAATGAACAGAAACAGGTTTGTTTGTTTTTTTTTTCAAAACTAGTGTGACAGTTTAAAAGTGTGATAAACGAAGTACTCCCACAAAGTTGCACTTCATGAAAAACCTTGTGAGGAGGACTACGGCTCAGCTGGCGACGAGTGGGGGTGAGTTGCTCGTGTGTATAAAAACACAGGCTAATTTGACAATCCCTCCCATAAACAAAAGACGTGTGAGGGCCTTTGCAACCTTTGTGTGAAATCGTTTTGACAGACTCCTTGCCAGGCCAGTGGAAACCTGCCAGTTTTAGCTCATTCAATTGGCTGCAGTCGCTGCCATGACTACGCAAGGACGCACTTTTCCGTGTAGTGCACCAGAGGCGGATGTGCAAATACGTGTTGGTAATTATATTTACAGTAAAACCTCGCTCAAATATGATATTCAACATGTCGTCTGATGTTTTCCTTGGAAGCTTATTACGTGATAAATTGCATGCTTTTTGTCTCGTACCGATAGACAATATTTTAACAGCTGTAGCCAGGTGGACCAACGCCTAACGTAAAACCGAAAAACCTCGATATTATCGAGATGCTTTTTATTGCTTGTACTGAGGTTGTTTATTTGGTGATTGTTGGGGACATCCAGTGAAAACACTGTTTACATAACATTTTTCACCACTCTTCCCGTGATGTTAGCGAGAGATTTCTGTTATACTAAGCGAATATAATTCTTAATGGACCGGCAATCGGATTGCAGTTCATATAGTATTGCACCTACCATTTGAATGATGTACAGTAGACAGACGTGTAACGTTTTTGAAGACTTACTGTAAGTGAAATTCTAGGTTTTGCTATACACAACGCCTAAATGAAAAGACAAAAGTCATAAAACCTGATGCAGTTCTTCTGTTGTTACAGATAAATTACTTTTTGTTAGTGTTGCGCAACATTTCATTTAGTTAGCTGCAGTATGATGGCCCGTTCAGGACTGTAGGGTACAGTATGTGTCTTGTGTAGTTAAGGTAAGCTTCTTCACCTGTTGGCCGTGATAATGCTGCCATTTCATTTTCAGCTCTTTCAAACGCACGCCTGAGTGATCTGGGGAATGCAACCAGCAGTGATAACAATTCCGACCGCCTCCTGTGCCACAGAGGCCAGTGATCTACAGAGGTAAGAGGTAAAAATCTGAGGACACGCCATATAGACTTTGTTATAAATTGGGTGTTAAAAGGGGAGTTTGCAATTGAATGCAATAGCAACAGCCAAAGCTTCTGGTGATTAAATGGATTAAAGGTTTTAGCAGGTTGATCTTTGCTGCCTGCTGTCCCCAGGCATTGCTCTTCAAGGCGATTTCAATTTTGGTTTTGATTTTACTGTTGTTTTATTTTTGTAGGCTTGTTTCATCATGCATCCCGACATAATTAATTCAGATCTGTACAGTTTTGAGAAAAAAAGTAAAAGTAAAACAAATAAGAATCAGTAGCAAAACTGGTCAAGAAGAGCTGGGATCTGAAAATTTGTGTATATATAAAGGCAAACGTTGATGTATATATATTTTGAAGGGTAGAGTATTATGTTAGGGAGAACTTATAACTGTTTTTTAAAAGTCATCCTTGATAAGGTTAAAATTGTCTTGAGTCGTGCATCATACAGTATATGGACTTCTCACTGTCAGCAACAATACATGATCTGCACTGAAAAACTACAGAGAGTATTTAAACACTGGAGTGTGTTAAAATCACACTAAAATCTTTGACAATTATTTGGTGCACAATTTCTCTGTTGCCTTATAAAACAAAAACTACAGATACATGTGAAATTTCCAGGGCAGAGAGCAGAGGATGCAGTCCCGAAAAGCACAGCCAGGACGGCTCGTCGTCGTCGAGGAGCATCCGAGAGGATCTGAGGAAAGATGAAGGCCCCTGGAAAGAGGACAGTCTTACTCCGGCAGAGAAGCTCGACAGTGCGCGCACAGCCTGCGAGCAACTAATTAAAAGCCACGAGGTAGACGTCACGACACCTGGTGGCTAACCACACTTCTACGAACATTTAAACCTTCAGTAAGGTCATTCAGGCTTACCTCTCCCACACTGAGGTGATATTTTCACTGGGTTTTACACTGGAGCACAAACCAATCGCTCCCCCTGTTTACTATTTTACAGTTAAACATGCTCTCTTCCTGTGTTGATGTAGGTGTCACGGGCCATGACTGAGCTCATCAGATGTGTGGCACTGTCCAGGCTGGTCTACGGAGACGGGCACTGGCGTCTTGCAGAGGCTTTCGCCAATGTGGCTTATGGGTATTTAAAGCTTCGAGGTACTGAAGTCGTACCTGAAATTACACTCTGTTCTACATTATAAGCCTGATACCAGAATGAACAGAGCAGAAGGTCTCATTTGCAGATTATATTCCGATGAAGTTATTGCCATGTTTTTTCTGAAGTTTTATTTAAAACAGGTCAAAATTATTATTCCTTGTTCTACATGGGCCCAACCACTTAAAGTCCAGGCACCTGTTTAGTTGAAATAACAGAAAATAATTGGAACTGGCATTAACCATCCTTTTAGCACAGGATTAATTTCCAATTTTCTTATCCTGTCTGACAGTACAAATTTGTAAAACATTTGAAAGAGTCTGATGAATCAATTCAATTGCGTTTGTGTTTATTTAAATACTGTAGGACTTCCTGCACAAGCACAACAGCATGCTGAGACTGCTAGAGACATTCTGCTGGCTGGGACACTGTTACCAGAACTTGTGGAGAAGAAAGACATACTTCCTACCTTAATGACCACCTACTACACCCTTGGGGTGGCACACCTCATGCAGAAAAAATATCCTTTGCGCACTGTATCTGTTCCTCCTCAACAGTGTGTACAGACCTATTAAGGAAAATATTTCATTAAAGTAAAATGAAAGACCAAAATGGACAACATGGAATCTTCTTCTAGTTTGTGGAGGAGTATGGGAGAGAGCAGGGATATGAGGGTAAGTGAGGTGGACTGGGGAAAACAGGAAGTAATCTGTGGGCAGGGTGCTGGTGGGGCAAGAGAAAAAAGGGGGAGACCTGGGGGACGATTTCTGGGGGGAGATTTTGGAGGACAGCAATGAATAGAGAAGTCAGAACAAGACGAGCTCTAGGGAAGTGTGTGAACTCAGTTTGAGGAAGAATTATACTGTTCAATCAAAATTATATCGTGCCTTTCAAGAAACTAAAAAGAAATGTCTGGGAGTTATGAGTGTAAATATTTGGATGTGATGACAACAGGATCAGAGGAGAAATCGGAAGCAAATCAGGAGACCAATGAAGGTTCTTTTGTTTTTAATAGCTTTAAAAATCTGAATTCTTATATACAGGTGCTCCATGAATCATGTAATGATTACCTTTCCACAGTATTATTTAGCCAAAAATGCAGAGTAGCATGCGTGTTGGATGTCCAGAAGTCGGGGAGTGTACAGGTACTGTACAACTGTACATGCAGGGGCATAGACGTATTGGCTTTATCCTTGACTTCATCACTCTGAATGAAGCTCACCAGAACCTGCAGAAAGCTGAGAAGATCTATCAGGGACACCAGGGCCTGTGTAGATCAGAATACCGAGCCCAGAATGTCTCCCGGGAAGACCTGCAACGGGCCCTGGGCAGGTAACTTGTTTCTCTGTGTCCTGAGGCACTAGTGAGTTGGACTTTATTGCCTTTGGTAGAACAATGGGGTTATGCAGTGTGAAGAATCCAAAGTTTAGAGTCTATATTTAGAGCATTTCTATTTTTGTTGAGGATATTGTAAGGCAAAACAGTCAAAACAAAGCATCTGTCCTAACAAACGTTTACAGAGGTGTAATCTGCAAACACATCACAGTAAAGATTGTGTAATAGGGGTGTAAGCATGTGTAGTAGGGTCATAAAGCCAGTCATTTTTCTCACTGAATTTAACCACTTGCCTGATGTCTTCACATCTTTGAGGCTTCCAGTACTCAGTTTACTACCAGCTGGTTCACAGGTTATTTTCAAGAAAACATAAATTCCTCTTAATTAAATCATACAAGAAAAGAAATGTACAGAATTATAAAGGTATACTTTAACTTTTATTTTAGGTACTATCATTGTTTGATCCCTTGTTTCAGGGTAGTAGTGTGAGGAAATGTTAACATAGAACACCAACACGCCTGTCGCTGTTGTTCTGTTATTAGTTATCTTTCAGACATTGCCAATTGTGTTATAAATTCTGACTTTAAAACATTTTGAATTGTATTTTAAAAATATTTTGAATTAAATGACCTGTGGTTCAGGGACTTATAAGTTATTCACAGAGGAAATGTCAGTATGTCTGCAATATTAATAATTGCATTTAGCTGCTAATTGAGTTGGCTGATAATTTTATCCATACTATACTGATACTCTAGAAGAATGGCCTCCTGTTCTCCTTTCCCTCTCTGTGGAAGAACCAGCGTTGGGGAAATGTCAAATCCAAACCATGGTCTCTGTCGGACTCCTGTGGCTCTTTCCCTGCAGGGTGGCCTTGCAGCAGAAAAGACCTGCGTCTGCTGTGCTGTACTTTGAAAAAGCAGCTTCCTGTGTGAGCTCCACGCGAGGACAGGACAGTCTAGACCTGGTCGGCATCTACCAGGAGATGGCAAGAGCAGAGCAGATGAGAGCCAGGCATGAGGAGGCCATCGAACACCTGCTGCAGGTGCACTCCTGGGCATCTGTTTGAGAAGGGAGAGCTGTGTGGGAGTCGCATATCTGGTCCTGTTCCTAAATCTGCTTAGAAAAGAGAGAAGTTCAGGAATAATTTTGTAGCCTTCAATTTGAAATAACCAGCTGAATCCACAGGACATAAAAGGGCCTAATTTTACTTTTTATCAGATAGATCTGGGCTTTTTTAAATTTTATGTCATCTATTGTGGTATTGCTATACTTGAACAATGCTAAAAACACAATCATAACTTTTTTTTAGACACAAAACAACACAATAAAACAATTTGCACAAACCCACATAGCTAAATAACTGTAATTGAATTAGCAGAAAGTCCTTATCAGCTTTCAGGTCCTTAATGGTGTCTTCTATCTTTTTTATCTTGCTTTCTCTTTTCTTAGAATTACAGTCTTCATTTTAAGTTCTGCTCTTAGATTTCAGCCATGACTATGTATTGTTATGATCTGTGATGCATATTGTAATGCAACGGGGTTCAGGTGGGCGCCGTTGCCTGCTGCCTACACAGGTCGGCCCCGCACTGTCGGGGACACAAACCTGGGCCTCGGGCGTCACTCAACAGGGACCCAGCTTGTTGAGCTAAAGAGAGATCTCTCCCCAGCCCAGTGGCTGTGGTCCTGCTATTACAGGGAAGGGCGGTGACGTCACCGCTCTGGTAAGCCAGCTCTTACACAGTACCTGTTGGCCGTATGCGTTACAGTATTATGCATTGTGCGTTTAACGTCTTTTGCACAAGTGGAGATAATGGGAAATTGATGTTGTTTTATTATCTCCATAGTGTTTATGAAGGAATTATGACATTGTTTTTTTAGGCTCATTCAAGTACTAATACTTTGTTGCTAATCAGACAGAACCTTGCACTTGTGCTGGAGAGCTGGAGGACATGAAGGTTATTTGTGCTGTAAAGCTGAGACCAAGTACAAGTTCTTGATAAGACAACCACTGCCTTAGTTTAAAATGAAAAATGTATGTGCAACAGATAACACTTTTCATTGTTTCTGAACACAGCAAACCTATGCATTTCACCTTTCTAGACTTTAATTGGTATCTGGTAAGGAGGCCAGCTGAGGCCAGCTGTTTGTGATTTTCATTGATCTGACCAGACAAGAGAACAAGAGCACAAAGAGGACATACTGTCCACAAGCCTGCCAGCCTGCTGCAGAGTAAGGGTGTAAAACTCTCACGTATTGCCACCTCATATTATGCATTACTGAGATGTCCTGTGAACAGCTCCCTCCAGGTTCCCTGTAAAAGGAGCCACGGTGTCCATTCATTAGATAGAAATAATTTAGGAAAAATAGATAGAGAGGGGACCACTCAGCCCACCGAGCTGTTTCACTGATAGTAGGTACTGTAATTGATCCACAAACCTTGTTTAGCCACTTCTTGTAGGAAAACAGTGTTCTGGCTAGGGTGTTAAAGAAACTAAAATGTATTCCGGTCTCTCAGGGCTCTGTGAACACAAGCTTCCTTGTTTCAGTTCTTCTATGATACTTCCACTTCTGACTCCACGTCTGTTGTAATGCAGAGTCAGACACAATCCCAAGGATTGGATGAGTGCCTTTTTCAAATCTAAGTTCTGAGTACTTTCACTGAAAGTGCGTACCATGTTGTAGTCTCAGCTAAAAGCTGTTTGAACTTCTCAGCAAACCTTATATGCATTATGAAGATAAAGGCTATGTGATGAAGGTGTAGTGTTTTCTTGCTTACCCGTGTGTCTTAATTCCTTCAGGCTCACTCCATAGCTACAGCCCAGCTCGACGAGAGCGTGGAGACAGCCCAGGCAGCCTTGTTACTTGCTCAAGGCTATGCTGCAGCAGGAAGTTTACGCAGTAGCGGTAAGCATGCAGGATTCTGAAAGTCTGCTTACTCCTAGTCTTCATAAAATACCTTTTTTTTGTTACCAAATTAGGAAAAAAGTGTTACAAAGGGAAAAATGAATTTAAGGGTTAAAGCTAAAGCTAATGTATTATCAGAGTTTATCCTTTCACAGAGCCTGATAATAATATTCAGGCTGGGCTCTTTTCACTGTGTGTTTTATTTTCATGGTTCGAAAATACTATCAGGAGCAAATGTTGTTTAATAATGCCCAACAGTTTGGACTGAAAATGTACCCTGCACAACCAGCAACACCTTCATTAAACATTATGATGTAAGTAAAGGTGTCGGTACAGACTGGCAGCCATATAGTCCTGATGTTGTTGGACTTTTGTGTTAGCTGATTGTGACTGGTTCCCCGATGAGTTCTTTGAGGACAACATGATTGGGATGGCTATAGTAAGCCATGATATTGAGTTTATCTGTTACTTCCACTCGTTGTTTCCCTGGTGTTATTGTATAATTCATAATATTTGTTTATTTTTTGTTCAGTTGGCCTATATAGTCTGCACAACCCATAAACATTTGTCATTTTGGGAAAAAAAGATAAAACTGCAAAATGTTTGTCTTCTGGTATTCCATTACCACAATTCAGATTGAAAGCAAGTGATTTAAATAAAAAAACGATGTCTTTGATTGAATGCACATGAGGTTGTACAAAACAACATTTAACTGAGTGTTGAAAATAGAACAGTGCCTTTGTTTTTCAGCTTCCTTTGTCTGTTGAAATTTGTCTGATGATTGAAGTGGTCAGATATTGGTTGAATCCACACTTAGTTTTTTGGTCCAACAGAGTTATTGGGAGGCTCAGATATCTGTCCTAAGAGACCGATCTTTTCTTATAGAGCTGACAGAACAGTATTTCAAGGAAAGCATAAATATGTTTCGCAGTGTACTGGGAGAAGAAAACCCTCTGACGTTCCCCGCAGTGGATAACTACACAAGCTGGCTGATTCAAACAGGAAGACAGCAGGTATTTAGGGGCTGTTCTCATGTGCTCTAATTAAATATTTCATCAAAGCAATGTTGGAAATATTTTAAATTAAGAAGAATCCTCGTTGTTGCATGAGATCAACATACAGCATGTTCTTATCAGACCTCAGAAGCTCAGCTAGCCTGGGCCTGGTCACTACCCATGGGATGTGAGATCTCCAAGGGAAACAGCTTGCTTTTGTAAGTAATGATGATGGAGCTGGAATTGGCACTCTTCCTTCTGGACCAGAAGTTCCAAACTAATGGCACAGTTTGTTGACAGGGGACACTGTACGGTCTGAGGTGCTGTCTTCCCAGTGAGATGTTAAACTCAGGTCTTGATCATGTGGTTATTAAAGATTCTATAACACTGATTGAAAGAATAACATCATAGCATTAGCATCACCCAGCATCCTGGCTAAATTCCACTCTAGGCTCACACAATCTGCAGTGTAGTGTGGCTGTTGGTGCAGAATGGCTGCCATGTGTCAGAGCACGTCAGGTCTGTGCTGCACATCTGTGGTAGATGAATTGAGCCCCTTCAGATGTGCAAAGCACTCCGGGATTCTTTGGGATGAGAAGCACTGTATACATGCAGTTAAGTAATTAATTGCAGTAGCACTTGATGTGAAAATTGGGAACATATTTTGGTGATTGTTAAACCTCTAAAATACTAAAATGTATTATTGTATGTCATATTATATCACTGTAACATATTTTTACTCTATTTAATATATAATTGTTTCCATATAAAATGCATTAATGAAACAGTGTGAAAAAAATAACTGTTCATCAAGACAGAATCCAGCACAGTTTCCAGTCATTTTAGCTTGATAAGTATCCCCATGTATTTCTAACATTTCCTATTTCCAGGTTTTAGTTTGAAGTGGATTGACCTGGGCCCATGCTTTTCACTGATTTAAATATCTTATTAGCCTGATGACTACAGATTGGTTTCTCCTAAACTAATGAGAGAGTCTCTTCGTTTACCCTGTCCTCCCAGTCTCCCAGTCACAGTGTTAATCTCCGATGTCTTTTTGTGACGGCTTCCCAAGACAGTGAAGGGGAAAGTTGGGCACTTTTGTGACATTTTATTAGTTTCTGTTGGGAGCTCTGGCATGGAGTGCCAGTTGATCACTCTGGTTTTCCTGCATTCACAGCAGGCGCTCGAACTTCTCCGCAGTACGCTGCAGCGCAGAGTGGAGGCTTTTGGCAACTACAGTGATTCAATGGCTGACACTTTGAGCCTAATGAGCAGTATTACTCTTGCCGGGGGAGAGATGAAGAAGGCCTACAAGCTGCTCAAGAAGGTGTTTGCACTTTTGCCTTTCCCTGGAAACCTGCAGTAGTTTTGGAAGGATACATAGTGCAGCTCCCTCTATTTGACAACAGAGGGAATGCAGTTCTCCCTTATCCCAGTATGTGTGCTGAACAGAGAAGGGCAGGGTCTTATTTTTGGTGGTCACTGTACTTTATTTCTCATTGCTTACTCAGAGTAGTTCTTTTTTTAAGTGAAGCTCTGGTCAAAATTACAAATGCAACACACCAGCCATTCAACATGCCACAGATTTCCTTAAGGGTGAACTACCCTAGTTTATCAGTATTGTTACAATGAGTCCGTTCATTTATTAGAAGGGCAGTAAGGCATCAGAATTTGTCTTTCCTGTTGTTTTCAGATGCAATAAACATAGAAAAAAACAGTGAACAAAATGTGTTGTTATTATTGCAGTGCCTAGAGATTCAGACAGTCCTGTATGGAAGCCAGCACAAGAAGAGCAGACAGACCCAGCAGCTACTGGACATGTTAAACAAGTGAGTACAGAGACTGGATACCAGTAATTATAAGTAAGCCAAAATAATGGGGGACTGCTATTTTAACAGATTCAGTTTTTCTTCCTTTATGTGAAGTACCAGTTTGGATAAACTATTTTGTTTTTTTGGAGATCTCTCATCCATCCAAATGCTTCTAAATGCTTTATCTAATTCAGGCTTCCGGCCTATCCCACCAAGCAATGACACAAGGATAAAACATATACAGGACCCCAGCCCAACACAGGGCTGACACAAACACAGACACGCACATACTCACACCAGGGGCAGTTTACTAGAAACCAATTAACCTACCAGTGTGTGTAGACTGTGGGAGGAAAATAGAGGACCGAGAAGAAATCCATGCAAGCTTAAGAGAGAACATACAAACTCTATCCAGATAGCACTGCAGCTTTGGAGCTGAGCCTAGGGCCCCAGTACTACAAGGCAGCACTGCTAACCACTGTGCTACCATGCCCCCCAAGATCACTCATACAGTATCTTTAAAAAAATCTGTTTCAGCTTTCTCAGAGCAGCACAGAACTGTCCAGGCTGACCAGAGCGTTATGCTAAGCAGCTCTTTTTGTCTTCTAGCTACTCTGTAGTAGTTGGATTTTCTGCTGGTTGGACAGTAGTTAAATCTCTAATATTTTATAGAAAAGTGCTTCCAAGAAAGATTCCTCACTTCCAGCATGAAGCCCATTGATTGCTCTCACTTCCTCGCATGTCAGTTATTCTCACAGTATTGATGTTACTAAACTAACTTGTCTCAAAAGGAGCAGTGTGCTCAGAGCCTTAATAAACCAGTAAATGTGGTTGAGCTGCTTAAAAGTAGCAACTGACAGTGATTTGTGCAACTTTAAACCTCATTATGGGCAAGTTTCTGAACAAGAAGACATTTGGGGGAACTTTGACGTGGGTAGTTTCCAGTCTGAACCTTGGTCCTGAAAGCATCTGAATTTTACATTAAATATAGTTTCACACAACAAGAAAACAAATGTGATCTTTCTGTTTCCTTTTCTTTCAAGGTCTCCTGCTGTATGCAAAAATAGTCTGCAGCCACAATAACCACGATCCCACAAGGTCACAAGAGAGAAGTACACATGGGAGAGGAGGCAGACTAATTCAGACTTAGGCCCATTCTACTGTATGCCAAGTGAGATGGTCAGTGTGAGGCTGAGATATGTCATTCACTGTTTTCCTGCTTTACTTTCCAAACATGGCTGGATGCTGTGAATTCCAGCTGCATCAGACACTGTGAAGTTGTGTGGTAAAGCTGTATCATTCTATTACAAGTAATGCCCTTTGAGTTAATTGCTTTCAAACACAGACCAAGAATCCAAATGTTCAAAGTGTAAAATTTACATCCTGACCTGAAACCATCATGATAAAAAGGTAAAGAAAAAATATCACTACGAGTGGCTCTAACATTAAATTTTGTGTATTTCAATGCTTTAAATAAACCATGAAACCCAGCCCTGTATCTTCATGACAGTTCACCTTTACTGTACTGTCTTTTAGTTGCAGATGTTAAAAGGTATGATCAATGAAAACCTATCTGTTGAATTGCATGAAGAGTTTCTGATTATAATTGTGTTTAGAAATTTGTTTGACAGTACTACAGTATGTTCTAAAGCAGGCAGAATTTTGCTAAAAAAACCAATAATTTATTTAGAAATATCTGGAATATGATATGAGCACAAAGAGGAAAATTTTTATATGTGCTCACATTGGTTTACAAAAAGGCACAGACCATTTTATACGTATTACCATCCAAACTTTACCACCGTAAACCTTAATGAAATACAGATTTATGCAAAGGTTTGGGCACCCCTGGCCAACTTACATGTTTTATTGATTTCCTAAGTGAAAAGAAGTTAACACAACCTCTGCAGTGAACAAACTTAAACTTGACATATTTCTGCAAATATTAATGTACAGTTACTATTTATTTGCTAAATTTAACAGATTGAAAAAAATAAAACACAATAATATGGCATGTGCAAACGTTTGGTCCACTAGTGTTATTTCTTTTGTAAGGTCTCAGAACTTAATTGACTGGTTAGGCCTTAATCTAAGTCAGGTGATGACAATTCCAGAGCTTCATAGATTCTCTGACTCTTCGAACCCTTCAGGGTGTTGTGCTTAAACTCAACAACCATGGGCTCCTCTAAGAAGCTGCCCGAGGAGCAGAAAATAAAGATAATTGACTCTTGCAAAGCAAGGGAAGGCTATTAAAAGATATCTAAACGCTTCCTGCTGGCAATTTCCACTGTCATAAATGTTATTGAGAAATGGAAGTTAAGGGGAACTGTTTAGGTCAAGACAAGATCTGGAAAACCAAGAAAATCTCAGATAGAACTGCTCGTAGACTAGTCAGGAGTGCAAAGCAAAACCCCCATGTCACTGCAAAGGACCTGCAGGAAGGTTTAGCTGGCACAGGAGTAGTGGTGCACCGGTCCACTGTGCAGCGTTGCTTGCACAAACATGATCTGAATGGAAGTCATCAGAAGGAAACCTTACCTGCGATCTCATCACGAAAGTCAACGTCTGAAGTATGCAACACAACACTTAGATAAGCCAGAGGCGTTTTTGAACCAAGTGCTGGTGGTCTGATGAAGTAGATATTTAACTCTATGGCCACAATCACCAATGGCACGTTTGGAGAAAAAAAGGAGAAACATTTGAAGAAAAGAACACCTTGCCAGCTGTTAAGCATGGGGGTGGATCTATTATGCTTTGGGGCTATGTGGCAGCCAGTGGCACAGGAAAAAATGTGTGGGTAGAGGAAAGAATGCATTCTACTAAGTATCAATAAATTCTGGAAGCTAAGGTCCCACAGTTAGCGAAGAAACTAAAGCTGATAAGAGGTTAGATATTACAATAGGACAATGATCCAAAATATGCCTCACAATCAACCATGAACTACAGTACTTCAAGAAACGAAAGAGGTCTTCACAGTCCCCAGACTTGAATATTATTGAAAATCTCAAACATGCAGTGCATGCAAGACGACCTAAGAACTAGAAGCATTCTGCAAGGAATAGTGAGAAAAACAAATTGTTAGCTGGCTACAAGAAACGTTTGGAGGGTTTGATTTCTGCCACAGGGGGTGTTACTAAGTACTGACTGATAGGGTGCTCAAACTTTTGTACATGCCACATTTACTGTTTAAGTTTTTTTCAATCTGTTAAATTCAGCAAATAAATTGTAACTGTACATTAAAATGTGCAGAAATATGTCAAGTTTAAGTTTGTTCCCTGCCGAGGTTGTGTTAACTTCTTTTCACTTAGAAAATCAATAAAACATGTAATTTGGCCAGTGTTGCCCAAACGTTTGCATACAACTGTATATGCAGTTTGCAAAGTCTGATTTCTCACAGCAAAGTGCAGCAGGTGTTGTGGAACTCAGAAAAGTGTATGATTTCTATACAGCAAAGTCAACTGCCCTCAGCCTGAAGAATTTACCAAATAGGACATGTTAGATGGATGAAAATTGTGTGCCCCTCATTTTGCAGTATTACACTGGCTGATATGTATTTCATTAAAAATAAAAGATAACAAACAATTTGCACCTCACATTTTGAATCCTCTTGGTGATGCCAAAAGTTTTTTTTAATCCAAAAGATATTTTTCTCATGGTTTTTATAAAGTACTTGCTGCAGATTTTAAAAAGATTCAGAAAGTCAGCTGAAGTTTATATCAGGTTTTAGAAAAAGGTTTTAGAAAAAGCATTGCTTTGAAACAAAAAGCTCAGTAACTTGGCCCTTGAAGAGCTCAGTCTTCAGGTACAGAAGAAACTTTTGACCAAAAATGCCAGTCTAATATTTTACGCTCCATGGGATTCTTGCTAGAGGGGCTTAATCAGCCACATTACATTACAATTGAACAAAATGTTCTGAGAAGTATTTCCTTCCCATTAGCCAGTCATTACTGTACTGTTGATTAGCTGTGTGGTGAAGGGTGAATCCAAGGTTTACTTTCTGTATATTTCTGTACAGAAATATACAGAAAGTAAACATACAGAAAGTACAGAAAGTAGAAATACAGAATGTAAACTTTTCTAGAAACTAGTGCTGTAAGATGAAGTGAGCAGGAGCATCTATAATACTGTTTGTGAACATTATGTGTAATCGCTAAGCTGCAGAGACTGGAGAAAACACCTGTGGCAGACTGCCGGTTCTTTGTTTTTACTGCACTTGGAATGCCAAGAGTTAATCTCTGCCTAATTCTGTAACAATGGAAACAGCCAGTCGGCATCATGGAATAGGCAAATATAAAAGCCGATGAATAGGCTGATAGGGCTTCCTGTGATGACTTTATAGAGTAGCCTCATAGTCATGAAGGGAAGTAAATACTGTCAGACAGTACTGCTGCAGAGCCCCAGCTCACATCCTGCGCTGGAGGTCTGCCTTTAAACAGCTCTGGAGTAATGGTAAGTAGTCAGGTTGATCTTTTTTTAATTTCACTTCTGCTGCTTATAAACACAGCTTGAAAGCTTTGGGAGATGCCAGTAATTAACATAGAGACTTGCTTTGGTGAAAGAATCCAGAGGAGGAAGGGGTGCTCATTTTCAATTTTGTCCATAGAATACAAGACAAAATATGACCTTCCAAATCCTTCTATTAAAATTTAAAGAAACATGCAGAAAAACCAATGAAATTGCTTTCTTTTGTTTGGTTTGGTGACGTTTAGCTGAGGTGCTGAGTTTGACAGGATTTGCTGCAGATTAACAGTCCTTGCTCAGCTGCGCTGGAGAGTCTGGTGCCTGTAGATTAGTCCTTTCTAGTCCCTCCAATGTTTGGGGAGTAAAAATGTATTCCTTGTTTTTTTTTAATTAAAAAAACAGGAGACAGTAACCTTTTATATTGTTTAACTAACAACATGCGGAAACTGGGAGCCCAATAAGTCAAATGAATAGTAACATTACACAGTAGTCAAGCACAAGCGATACTTAAAAAAAGAGTCTTTCTAAACTGATTAACTGCATCTCCTGGGGCTGTAGGCTTTCTTTCACATTCTCACCTTCATAAGAAAGAACCTTTTGTTATAGTTTTCCTACTAAAAAGTAAATAAGACAGGCATGTGGGCAAGGTTCTGTTAATTTGTTACTGCTGAACAGAAGCGCAGGAGAGAGAGTGCGAGGAGAAGCCGGGCATTGCGAAGCAGGGGGTCTTCCAGCTCGGCACTGACAGCCTGCACTGCATGACTGCAGAGTGTTGCGAAAGCAACTGCTCTTGGTGGCTTAAGCAGAGGCTCTTTTCCTTGCTGAAAAGTCTCACTTCCTGTTCTTGCCGCACTAGGGAACATGACATTACACAAGTTGGTTTTCTTAATGTGTTTTTCTATTACTTCCAAATGGCCCGATGGTGTGTTAAGTCAAAGAGGCACCACTGCTCGACTTCCCCTCTGTGTAGTCGTCTTTGCGGGAGTCTTCAGACCAGCAGTCTCCCATCTTCCTGTCATATGGCACCGTCGATTGAATTGTTTTTCTAAATGTCTACACAATAGTGGGTAAGAATCTTAACCAGAATATTGGAGTCCGAATTGGGATTTCCAAGTGAGAGCAGTTTTAAAGGACGCAGTGTAGGTAAAGTAATGGGCCGAGGTGCCATTCTGCCCTAGGCTGACACTGTGTAGAAGTCAGTTTAGTGGTGGGATGCAGAGAGATGTGGGTTCGAGTCATTCAGCCAATTAAAATTAGAGTATTTCTGAAATGAAATGAATTGTATCCATGAGCTGTATTCACCGCCTTTCGTGGATCAGAACAGAGTGAGAGGGCAGAAGCGGTAAGAGAAAGAGTTGAGCTTCACAACAGGACTTTTGGAATTTAAATGGCAAAATACTGTGAAAAGCAATAAACGTATTAATGGGAAGACACTATAAGCCTCTAGGTTGCCTCAACATCCCCTGGCAGTATCTAATAAACTGCTAGAATGATGCCTTCATTAATTATCTTTGTTAGCCTGCTCATATATCTGCTTCCTCTGCCTGGTGTGAGGGAAGAGAGCAGAAGATAGAAATAACGCTGTTATTGCTGTGTCTGGCCTTCCTTGTTGTAGAACAGTGTATTATGCAAAATTCTTCTTCTGGACTGTTTTGTTTTTACAGTTGAGCAATTGTTTGCAATATGACTCACCCAAGATAAAGACACGATCCGAAAAGCAGCAGCAATAGCTTGTATTAATGTAATGTAGTCTGATTAAGCTTGCAGTCTATAGCAAGGCTGTGCACTGGACCCAGTCCGATAAACACTGTTGACCATGTGGTCACATACAGTAAATACTGCAGCAGAGTAGAGAAACATTCTTAAATGCTGAAGAGCATCAGTGGCAGATAAACACTCACAGTACTGTTCTGAATATGCTACCAAAATGCTGTGAGCTTAACTGTTTTTCACTAGACTAATTTTTTCAATTTAAGGAACAGGTAGATT